CATGAGAAAATCAAAACCATGAAATGTATGTAAGTTTAACAATAATTTTTACAAGTAGTAAAGCTAATATATAAATAGGTGTAAAATGTAAACATATAGCTTGATAAGGTATCACAAAATTGATGCCCATGCAAATACCACCATGTTAGGAGATAGCACACTGTTGTCACTCCAAAACCTCCACCTTCAATCTTTTCCCAATTATTGCTTTCTTCCTCCTTTTGAAAATATAACCAGCATGCTGACTTCTAGCATTATAACTTTGTTTTTGCTGCTTTTGAAATTTATATAAGTAGAATTACATAGTATACATTCTTTTCCACTTGGCTTCTTTTTTCAAAACCTTTTGTGAAATTCACTTATTTTGTTTGTTGGCTGTAGCTTATTTCAGTCACTGTAATTATCGGGTAATGATTCATTATGTGACTATACCACGATCAATTTATGTATAATTATTGTTGATATACATTTGGGTTTCCAGGATTTGTCTGTTCTTTTTTGCACGTTTCTTGGTTCCAATAAGTATATGCTAATACTGGGTATGTATCTGAGGTGGAAATGCCAGCTGATGGGATATATGTGTATGTATATATACATTTTTATTAATAAAAATGTTCAAATGTTATGTAGCAACATTTATAATCTCTAGTATTATTGAAATTTCTTTTGCATATTCCATTTAACTCCATATTCCATCTAGAATGAAATTTTAGATATGTATGGTGTAAGGTAGTACAATAGAAAATATTTATTTTCTATCCAATGGCCTCAGCATTTAAAAACTGAAATGTACAAGTATGTATTGAAATTCTTCTGGACCTTTGTTTCAGCTTATTCTTTGCCAAAATCAGATGACTTAATTATCATTTCATAATAAGTCTTGCTACTAGATAGAACTTGTCTTCTCCTTCTTCTTCAAGGGGTTTGGCTACTCTTAGCCCTTTGCTATTTTCTATAAATTTGGAATAAGTTGGCCAAGTTTTTGAACAAAGAAACCTGAAATTTTAACTAAGATTAAGGTGATCAAATTTGAGAGAATTGGTATCTTTATAATAATGAGGCTTCTTCTAAACCATATTCTTCCACTTAGTCTTCTTAATTTCTCTGAATCACACCCAACCTTTTCCTTTCAAAGACTTATACACTTTTCACATTTACTAGGTATGTGAAGCTTTTAATTACTTGCTTTCGTAATTGGTATAAATTGTATGCATTTATTGGGTGAAACATGATGATTTGCTCCATGTGTACATACATACATATGTAGATATGGAACGATTCAGTTTAGCTAAGTAACATATACGTTACCTTACATAGCTTTTTGCTACTCTTACATTGCATGTTTAAATAATTCTAATGCATTTTGACAGTATATTAAAATATTTTATTTTTATATGGTTTTGCATTAGGCAATCTTGAACTCTTTAAGTTGTCCTAATGCAAGTCTTTTTTCCTTTGTGGATGATAATTTTATTTTTTCCTTTGAACTGTTTATCTTTCCAGTAATAAGCCAACAAATTAATTAATTGTCCTATTGCATTTGTGGGGCTCTCTGACTCAGTTCTGAATAGATGCAGTGATAGTGCATATAGCTTTATTTTTTGGTAAGTGTGTAATTAATGTTTGTTGACCAAATAGTATATGAGTGTTACAATTGTTCCTAGATTCAATGCATCAATCCTAAATTATTTGAAGAAAATATTATCTTGATTACTCAAGATTTTTATCTTGATCATTATTACATATATAATTAAAAATTTATGCATATCACTTATATTCCAGAAATTCTTAATGTCATATTTCATTTTCATTACCTACATTTTTGATTGCAAAGAGAGAAATGGGTTTTTATCTCTCTTTCTACTTACATCTATTGAAGGATACGTAAGATGATACGCTTGCTCAATACAAAAATGACAAATTTTGCACGTAATATATTAACTCTAAAGAGCTCCAATTTAACTTTGAAGAGAATTTTTTTCACAGATTTTGATAAAGTGATTAAAATTAGAGGAGGATATTTGCAAGAATTATTAAAGAATAGTTGGGAAGTGAAAATGTTGAGAATGTTTGAGTAGATATGAAATACTTTTGCCTGAAGTCAGGTATTCTAGAAACTAAGACATAGGCAATAATTTTTGTTCAGTTTTTTTTTTTGTTTTTGAGGGGAGGGTGTGCTTCTTTTAGAGAGGCGGGGTGGGACAAGGAGAAATGTTAATTAATCATCTGCTTTCAGCTGGAGATTGGCTTCTGTCTGATCCTGTAGAGGAGGCCTAGAGCATAAATCATACTACAAAGAGGGCCTTACCTGATGCTAGGTGGCTGCCTTTTTATACCTTTGTGCTAGTGAGTCACATCCAGGTGTGCCCTGGGTGGGCTGTAGAGTGGTATGCAGACTCCAGACAGAGGGATCCCATTTAGCTGAATCACTGATCCCAGAAAACAGCTGTGAATGAATTATCAGCCAAAACAGCAACCGGATGTTAGACGCGCAGGCCGGGAAAGAAATGTGTTTGAGACATTGGCGAGATGGATTACAGTATAAGTTTGAGGAAGAAGCTCATTACAAGCCAGCAACAGTAGCACACGCTGAGGTTTACCAAACTATGAGTTATGGGAGAGGATGGTGAATCCATCAATGCCCTTCTTCAGGGTTTAATTAGTTTTCTCCACCCATGTAAGCACAGGAGCTATTTTTATGGCTCTTAATCAGCAACCTCTTTCCTTCCACTGAAACAGCTTTGAAATGAGGACTTATGAAATAGAAGAATAAGGAGAAGACCAAGGACTGGGGGTTGTGAAGGCAGTGGAAATCAGGCTTAGAGGGAATGAGAGCGGGAGTAGGTATCCAGATGGAAATACTTTGGCATGCAGCAGTTTACAGTAGGAGCAGTTCTTGGTGATGATAATGGTCAATGTATTTCTGTGTGAGAGAGTTGCCTAGGAAAACGAAGATGAAGACCAGTAAAGTGAAAGATTTGGAGATGTACAGGGTGGTCGTAGCAGCTAAGGTGGACAAGGGCACTTGTGCAGAGCATCAGAGGGTCCTGCGGTTTGGGACGCACAGAGCCTCTAGTCTCCAAAAGGGAACACTGGAGGTGACTGAAAAAAAGGCTAAAAGAAAGGTGGAGAGAGAAAGACTTGAAAGAAGCAAGTGTAGGGTGGAGAATAGGAATGAAAAACTTGTTGTCGGATCCCAAAGTATGAGTGGCTGTTCTAGAGAAGACTGTGGAATGCAGTGATTCTCAGCAAAAGTCGGTTTTGTCTGTGAAAACAGGTGGTAGAGGAAAGGCTTCAGAGAAAAGCAGAAGGCATGTGAAAATAGCTACACACTGACACAGAGTGTTGAGGGACCACAGGAAAAGGACTTGGGAGACATAAATTGACAGGTATATTAAAATATGAAGTATTATAATGAACTCAAGGATCTTATGTCACTTTTAAAGGCATTTCACTGGCAGTCATGGTTAACTCCATAATAAAAAGCTAATTCTTTCTGAACCTTACTCAGTTTGTACATTTCTCAGTGACATTTAAAACATGAAGCTAATTAGGTATTACTTTGAGTTGCTTAAAGGGCTATAGTCAAAACATTTTTTTAGAAAAGTAAATTGTGAGTAGTGAGACAGGTTCCTATAGGAGCCAAACCTTTAAAGAAGCTTGTGTTCAGGGGAAGGGAAAAGAAGATATTTTTCTGGGAGGTATGGCTTACAACAATGACAAAGCCTTTATAACCTTTGTGAACACTAAGCTCGAGACTAATGTAGGTGCTCTTTATTTTAATGAACTAGTAGTTTCAGTACAAATGTTCCAGGGCTGGCAGGAAAAACTGGACTCTGGAAGTGTAATTTTCTTCTAGGTTTCCTGCAACTTTGCTAATGTTTTCCTGGAACCAGGTTGTTGTGTGTTTATAAGTTGCTATGCTTAGTACTCTGTCTGGTACACAGGAGACTCAATAAATATTCATTGAATGAATTAAAATAAGAGATTTCTTAATGGACAGAATACTTGAGAACAAGAGTGACCTTGTGTGTGTGTGTGTGTGTGTGTGTGTGTGTGTGTGTACACCTATGCATGCATTTTTGCATAAAGCTGCCTGCCCAAACTCTTATTACTCCTTTTTCTGGTTCTTTTCTAACAAGCCAGTTTACTTTCCTTTTCTTCTATGCATTTGACATTCCAAAATAATGCAACTGCCAAATGAGTCTTAGTAAAGACAATGGCCTGTCAGGACAAAACTCTAGATGTCAGTGGTAAGTAAAGTATGCATTTCATTCATGTCTGCAGATGAATTAAATGGAGCCTATGAAAACCAGTGGTTTCCAACCTTGGCTGCACATCCTAATTACCTGGGGTGATAAAAATTCTGACGCCTGATTTCACCCTAGAGATGCTGATTCAGATAGTTTAGGGTAAGTATTGGGCACAGAGTTTTTAAAAGTTTCTCAGGAGATTTTAATGTGTATCCAGGGTGTAAAACCCTTACTCTAAACAAGCTATTCCAGAGGATTCTTGATATTATCAGGGATGAAGGTTTTCCAACCCGCCCTTTCCCCGTGAGTTCATTTGACTTGGTCATTTTAATTCTACCCTGTAGTCCTGGTATGGGCTTCCGCTTTCAGTCCTGTTTTGTTCTCTGGTTAATTTTGACCTTTTCATGCTGAGACTCCCAAAAAGAATTTCTAAAGGATTTTGGAGAAATTGGAATTTAACCTTGCTTCTTGTATATTTAAAGTGCATACTATTTGAGCTACACTTGAAATACAATTGCTGACAACTTCAAGGGAATGACTTCATGGCTATTAATGAAAATATAAGGAACTGAATCTTCAGTTTTGTCATAAACATTGTCTGCTACTTTTATTAGGAAATTATCATTGAGAAACCCAGTGCTGTTTCATTGGAGATGCAAATTATAATGACTAGGGAGAGGCAGAGGCAGAGAGCTATAAATTAAGGACCTCGGCTACTCATTTTACACAGGTGTGCTAGTTTCTCACTTAGCTGCCTCCCTCATCAAGAGCCAGGTATGTTCTCTCTTCAGCTACAACTTAAGACTCTTGTATTTTGAAAACATAGATGTTTGTTATTTGAAAGAAGTACTCTTACTGTGCATTGGCTTTCCTTAAGGGGGTTTTATTTAATTCATTTCATTTTTGAGTGAACCTTCAAGGTGTCACTGTAAGGGATCCAGGGCTGAAACTGAAGCTGTAACAGCAGATGTAGGATGTAGATGAAAGATGCCTTAGCGGGGATTAGCCCAGGACAGCAGAATCATCCACAATATATGAATTTACAAATATTTTACTCTGCGTTAATTCTGTTTTTGTTTGGGGATTCTTTTTTATAGCCTTTCTAGAGTAGTTATAAAATAGCTCTGACGCAGAAAATATAAAACATGTTTATGGTCTACCTGTTTATTTTGGCAAATATTAATTGCTCTTAAAATTATTCTTTGTGAGATAATAAACATAATATTAGCACATGGAACAAAGTTGAAATAATATAGAAAATCACAGATAAACACCTTACTTAATAATCCATGACTAGTGATATTTAATTCTCTTTAAAGGAAAATTTAGCTTAGGATCAAATTATCACAGTGTTAAGGTTTAGGACTTAAGAGAAATAGCTATCTGGCTACTGTTTAAACTGGATTTTGAGTGAATTTAGAAGTAGCATCAGATAAGGGTATAGCTATTAACTTTATTATTACTAAGGCTAAATTTGAACATTGTTCTTCCTGGAGGCCTATGGGACACCTATGCCTTCAGGGTCTTGCCTTGTCACAGGCTGAGAAGATGGAAAAGCTGACCATCAACAGGATAAAGACTAGTTTTGCCAGAGAAGGCTTATCATGAGGAATAGGCAGAGGGAGGCAGAGGCAGGCAGGTTCACACAAGGAATGACAGAATAAAACCATTATCATGTTAACCCCACTCCCTGGGGAAACAAGAACTAAGAACAATTGGAATATGCCCAACTCTAGCTAACTTGTGTCTCCTTCAAGAGAAGGTAAGAAATGAGTGAAAAGCAGACAGCAGTGACCTTTGATTGGGAAGTACAATCCCATTTTCTGGGTCAGTGCAGGAAGAGTTCCTGTGACACAAAGCAGTCCAATCCAAATGTTCAGTGTTGATTGTTTTTGTCACTGTTTTAGATCTCAATAAAATCATCATGGATTCACTCATCGCAGCAAATACTCACTTTGGGTTTAATCTTTTCAAAGAGTTGAAGAAAATACATGATGGCAACATCTTGTTTTCTCCTGTTGGTATGTCAACTGCAGTTGGCATGCTCTCCCTGGTGACCCGAGGAGCCACCACCTCCCAGTTACAGAAGGTAGGCGGCTTCTTTGCTGCCCGCGCACAGGCTTGTTTCTGAGGGCCAGCCCTCTAGCATTACATCAAAAATATGCTCATCTTGAAGTGCAGCACAAGAAATAAGGACTATGAAGTCATGAAGAAATTTCAGGTCTTTCAGGGAAATCCTTTTGCCTTTTCAAATAACATTATGCCATCTGCTTGAAATTTGTTTGAGTGGGGGAAATTTCTTTTGAGTGAGCAGACTCTTACAACGCCATTACTCTTCTAATTAAAGACCGAGCATGAAAAGCAGTAACTCCTGGGAGAGGTGCTATAATCCCCACTGAATATAAATGACACATCAGCGGTGAACACATCAATGGATATAGGCTCCTCTGAAGAGATCAATGGACAGCCCAGGTCTTTTCATGATTTTCCAAGGAGACAATGTTACCTATGTATTACTGAGATTTTTTTTTAACAGGAGTCCACTTTTCCCTGACTGACTCCATGCAGTTTTTTTGTGCTCTAATCAGTGAAACAATACTTTCTCCCTACCAGGTGTTCCACCTTGAAAAAGATACAGAAGGTTCCAGAACAAAGGGTGAAGAAAAAAAGGTGGGGGCATATTTTTTACAGCCTTTAGTATGATTACTTTTTAGGTGTGAACTCACTGGAGAAAAGGACTGAGAAAAGCAGGAAGGATGTAATACTTCACAGTAGTTCTTAAGCAGTAATAATTACTGTACCCTGGTAATACTGCTAAATATATCAGTTCACTTTCTGTTGCTCTAACAGAATATCTCAGGCTGGGTAATTTTTATATAAAAATATTTATTTAGCTCACAGTTCTGGAGGCTGAAAGTCCATTGTTGGGTTGCTCCATCTGTTTGGCTTCTAGTGAGAGTTCCCTTGGATATGTTACTATGCATTGGATAAAAAGAAAAGAGATCCTGCCATGTGCAAAAGAGGCCAAGCTTGTGGGCTGGCCTTGCTTTATAACAACCCATTCTCAAGAACTAACTCACCCTGAAGACTAGCATTAATCTCTGAGGGCAGGGCCTCCAGTGGCCTAATTGTCTCCCACTAGTACCTAAATGCTGTATTACCTGCTAATGGCCTTGTACTGGGGACCACTGATCTAGCACAAAACCTGTGGGGGAAACCACTTGCAAATGACAGCACTAGGATTAAGTAATAATAACAAGCCCTTAATATTAAGAACAGACTTTAATGAATGTTAACTACTCTGAAGCCTGGATGATTGAAAGGTCGTCACAGCCAAGTGAATAGTGTTGGGTTTTAAAACAGATTTAGGTTCAAGTCTTCGTTCTGTAGTTTAAGACCTAGGTTTCTTTGGGGAAATTGTTTTTCTTCTTTGGTCCTTCATAAGATGTCTAGTAGGAGCAACTGGAACACTGATAACTCATTCATTGGTGGTGGTAGTAGGTAATATCACTAAATTCAATTCATACTTTGGTCCTTTGCTGATATCTTATTAAAAAATATTAGCACAGCATTATTGATCTCCTGGAGTCTCCTCCACCTCTAGCACTCTAGTACTCATCACTGAGTCCTCTCTAACAGAGGAGTCAAGTCTATTAGGTCAGGAATCAGGAGTGGTCAGAGTTCACAGGAAGAGCACAATTGTTCTGATAGTAGTTACAGTCCAGTTCTTTGCCCTCATAAAGTTGTAGCTCAAATAGTCCAGCTGGTCATTTCATAGTCCTAAAAGGCTACATTGAATGTCAGGCTTCTTTCTGGGGTTTGCTCAGCAGAACTGAGTCAGGTAGCTTTTGCCATGTACGCTCAATTGAGGCACGCATTTGATCCAAAGTGCTTTTCCTCCCAAGCATGTAAATTCGCACAGATTCTCTGTGCAAACTTGAGAAAGGCAAATTTCCTAAGATAGATGCCCTTGTCTTCAGATAAAGCCTTGATGCCCGGTCAGAGCTGGATTTCAGCCTTGACAGCCACATTCTGTACAACCCTGGGAGCTGGCTCTGTTCCAGCTCCAACATCGTGTTTTTTTTGTGGGGAAAGGGAGCTGAAGAGGTATAAAAAAGAGAAGAATTACTGACTAAAAAGTTACTAAGTCTGGAACAGATCTTAGAGGCCATCTACTCCAATCTCCTCATTAATAGATGAAGAAACTGATGATTAAAGTGATTTATCCAGGGAAAGGCTTGACGTGTGGGATTTGATTATCATACGCATTCAAAGTATTTTGAACTTGCTTTTAAAAATTGATAAGATCTCTAGACATACATGCAAAAGGTATAAGGAGCAATGAAGTGAGCACATTTTAATTCCTTCTCCCAGTGTAAGAAACAAAACTCCTTGATACCTTTTCTAATGTCTTTTCTGAGTACATTTCTTCTTCTGAAAGGCGATTCCACTGTCCTGAGTCAGGTGTGCATTGTTCCCATATACTCGTGACTTCATTACATACAGCATCTGTTTTTAGCCACTGTTTTTTCAACACAGCTATTTTTGGTTCAACAGTGTGTTGTATTTTAGGTGGATATCTGTATCCCTATTTAATCCATTTTCACATCTGATTATCCATTTATCATATTGATGGATCCTGCCTGCCTGTTTGACTCCCTCCCTCCCTTCCTTTCTCCCTTTCTATTAGAAACAATGCGGGGATGCCCCCTTTTATGTAAGCCTGCTAGTTTACCTGGATGAGAGTTGCTCTAGTTCTGAGCTACTGAATATGATAATTATTCAAGTGGCTATTAAGCTCTGGAAATGTACTTGGGTCAAATTGAAATATTCAGTAGGTATAAAATAAACACTCAAGAACTTAGTATACGAAATGAGTGTAAGGGCTGGGAATGCAGCTCAGAGGCACAATGCCTGCCTGGCAAACATGAGGTCCTGAGTTTGATTCCCTCCACAAAAGGAAGAGAAATGTGTGTAAAATCATTATTTTTTGAAATACTTAAAAGTCTACACTTTTTATCATGTAATATGCAATTAATATTTACTGTAATGATATGCTGAAATGATATGGTAGGTATGCTGGGTTGTATAAAATATAAAAATAAAATTAATTTCACTTGTTTATCTTTACTTCTATTTATTTTAAAACATTAGTTTTATTGGTACTTTTGATATATACATGATAGCATTCATCACATGGCATTTGTACCTGTACATGAAATATCTTCATTCTTCTTTACTCTCCTCTCCCTCGCCTCCCTTCAACCCTTCTTCCCCTCCTTATTTACAAAGGCTTTGCTTTCATTTCATACTTCTTTTTCTTTCCCCTTCCTTTCTTTCCTCTTCCATTCCCTTGTTCCCCTTCCCACTTGAATACTTTCTTCCTATTTCCCAATATCTCTTATATATTTTGGTCCTTACTTAACCTTTTGGTTTCTCACGGCAGAGAAGCCATGTGATGTTTGAACACGTGTGTCTAATTTATTTCACTGAAGAGTTATGTTCTCAGGATACACTCAATTATCTAGAAATATCTCTAGCTTATCCTTCTTTATGGAATAGTATAGAAAAACCATGCCCTCTTTATCCATTCATTGGTTGATGGACATTTGGGCTGTTTCCAAGATTTAGTTATTACAAACTGTGCTGATATAAACATGGATGTGCATATATAACTGTGGTATGATTGTTTTAATTGTTTTAGGAAGATACCAAGAAAGAGAATAGTTGGGTGAAATAGAACCTTTAGTTTTAGTTTTTGAGGAGTATCCACACTGATTTCCATAGTGGTTGCAGCAGTTTATACTCCCTGAAACAGTGGAGAAGGGTTCCTTTTCCCCCAAGCCCTGCTAGCATTTGTTGTGGGTTGATTTCTTGATAACCAACATTATTTCTGGAATGAAATGGAAACTCAGTGCTGTTTTAATTTCATCTCTTGAATGATCAGTGATGTTGACCACTTATTCATATATTTATTCACTATTTCTACTTCTTCACTTGAGAAGTATCTACTCATTTCAGGTGCCCATTTTTGGATTTGGCCTTTAAATCTGATTTTTTACAGTTCTTTATATATTCTAGATATTAGTCCTTTGTCTGAGGAACAGCTGGTAAAAATATTTCCCACTCTGTGGATGCTCTGTCCATCCTGTTGCTGGTTTCTTTTCTGCATAAAAGGTTTTTAAGATGATGAGATCTCAGTTGTTGATTCTTTGTGACATTTCCTATGTGATAGGGGTTGTGTTCATAAAATCTGTGCCTACACCAATGTCTTTAAGATTTCTACCTATTTTATCTTCCATCAGATTTAGTTTTCTGTTTTAATACTTAGACCTTTGGTGCATTTTGATTTCATTTAGGGCATGGTCAGAGATATGGTTCTAGTTTTAGTCTTTCATGTGTGGAAAGCCAGGTTTCTAGCACCATTTATTAAAGAATTTATTTTTCTTCCAGTGAAGGTGTTTTACCCCATTGTCAAAAATAAGGTGCCTGAGAGTGTTTGGAGTTGTTTCCACATCTTCTGATCTATTCCAGTGATCCTTGGGTCTGGGTTTTTTTTTTTTTTTTTTTTTTTTTTTTTTTTTTTTTTTTTTTTTTTTTGCGAACACCATGCTATTTTCATCACAGTAGCTTTGTAGTATAACTTCAAGTCATGGAGTGTGATACTTGTTGCCTGGTCTTTATTTCTCAGAATTACTTTTACTGTTCCAGGTCTCTTCTGGTTCCAAATAAATTTTAGGATTGTTTTCTTTGGTTATGTGAAGTATGCTATCAGTATTTTGATTGAGATTACTTTAAATCTGTATAACAATTTTGAGTGTACGGCCATTTTCTCTATATTGGTTCTTCTTACCCAATAATAAGGGATATCCTTCCATTTTGTGATATTCTCTTTGATCTTTTTCAGAGTACCGTGGTTTTCAGTGTAAGGTCTGTTACTTCCTTCCTTAGGCTGATCACTAACTATTACATTTTTTTTGGATGCTATTGTGGTTTCTCTGATTTCTCTTTCCAGTGAATTTGTTATTTGTGTATAGGAATGCCACCTGATATTTGAGTGTTGATGTTGTATATAGCTACACTACTGAATTGGTTATAAAATCTCCTAGTCCTTTGGTGGAATTTTTGGAATCTTCTATGTGGAGCATAATGTCACCTGCAAATAATGATAATTTAACTTTTTACTTTTGTATCCTTATTCTTTTTATTTATTTCTCTTGTGTAATTGTCCTGGCTAGTGTTTCCAGAACTGTACTGAATAAGAGTGGCGATAGTGAACATCTTTGTCTTGTTTCTGTTTTGTTTTTTTTTTTTGTACCAGGAATCAAACTCAAGACCTTGCGCTTGCCAGGCAGGAGCTTATGCCACTGAGCTATATCCTGGGCCCCTTTGTCTTGTTTCTGATTTTAGAATGAAAGCTTGCAGTTTTTGATCATTTTGTGTGACATTGGCTGTTTTTTTTGTCATAGATGGCATTTACCAGATTGTGATAAAGACCATCCAATTCCAATTTTCTGTAGTTTTTCTTTTTTTTTTTTTTAATCATGGATGGTTGTTAAACTTTGTCAAATGCCTTTTCTGCATTTATTGAGATGTTCATGTGGTGTGTCCTTGATTCCATTAATATGATATATTTATTGAGTTGCATATATCAAACCATCCCTAAATCC